TAACGTTTTTCATTTTTCTTTGAGCGCCTTTCGCCCGCTGGCTGCTACTTTGGCATTACGCCAACTGCTAGCAACTAAATTCTTTTAGCTTATTTGTATCCACTTTGTATTTTTGTTATTATTTTTTTTATATTCTATAATATTTTTCCTTTTACGTTTTTTATTTATTTTAATTGACTTTTTTTAATAATTTTTTTTCACAATTTATTTAATTATTTTTTAATTTTCTTTTTTCACTTTTCACTCGGTTGTGATTTTTCGCGCATAATTGCCTAAACGAAACGGCACCTTGAGAGTAGCAGCATTGAGTGCTGGATTATTTGCGCTAACAAAGAGGCAAGCAAATTAGCTAATGACGTGTTAATAAGCTTTTCCAAAGTGCCAAAGAAATTTACTGTTTATTAAAAAAAAAAACTTGAGTGACGTTAGAAAACTAAGTACCTGCTCCACGTGACTTGAAGGAAACTAATTTAAAACACATTTTCACATAAACTACCCTATAGGGACACTCATACCTTGCGGAGTAGTTCGTTACTAGTTTTTTTTATAGCCAGTATTGACATGCTTTTAAAACTTAGAATGGAACTTAGCAATGCATCAGCTCGTTGGGCTTAAGCTCTGCTTTCTTACCAACAACTTGCATGTAGTAAATTAATGAGTACTTTAAATAATATTTGAAGATAATTCTTTAATTCAGTGCTTCCAAATTTTTATTGATGATATAAAGGTATAAGCGACTTTACTATAAGAAATTTTTTGGCTAAAACCATAGTTGATTACTCTACCTTTTGAACTCTTATTTGCAGTGACTAAGTTATCGAATGGTAAAAAAATTGTCATATCCTAAGAAAATTTTCCTAACCTCTATTTAAAAGTTCTCATTTGAGCTCTTCTTTTTTAGACAGAGAAAACGGTTAATTCTAATTTGAGCTCCTATCAGTCGGTAAAAATATTCCGTACATTAAAAAGTCGTAATGTCTGAAAGAAGCAATTTTAATCCTACTAGATATCCCTACTAACTAAAAACCTTAAACTAATTTCATACACTTTTTGCAACTTAATGCCAGTCAATTCAGGACTACTCGAAATTTTTCCTACTGGGCTTTTGCTGAACCTAAAATATACATAGTAATACATCTGTTAGATTGTTTTCACCTAAAAGTGCTCTCAACATTGTATTATCCGTTCCTCTTTCGTTAATTAAGCCATTTTGTTTTATGTTATATAAAATAGATAAGATATTAATACAGGAAATTAATTATCTGACAGTAATCAAAGAATTATAGAAGTACTAGACATTAGGCATGGCCACAATATAAGCAAGTTATTTATATTCTGTAAGCGGAACTAACCATGGAAAAAGAATGAAGTAGAAGAAAAAAATATACATATGTTTCTTTTTAAATTTATTATTAACAAATATTTTTATTATAATTTAATATATTTTGTCCAAATGGAACGCTCCAAATCTTAGAAATATACTTTTTCTTAAAATCTTACGAAATTTATATACTTATTTCAGTTCTACAATTGAGTTCGTGGTTTTCCATAACTCAGTGAAAAATAATTTCGGTCCGGTTTTCTCTCTATGGCCCTGATCAGAGTGTATCATGTGAATATAATTATCAAACGTAAATTTCGTTATAGTTCGTTAGGCGCGTCAGTAATTAATTTTTCGGATTTTATTATAATGTACATAGATAATATTTACCGTAACTGTATTTATCTACTTTTTTCGTTGTAAGTATATTGCATTGCGCCAAAAAGTAGGCAACTTATGCGGAATCATCTGCTATAAATAATAATGATAAATAATAAATTTTGTTAAACACAAGTGAAATATGACTTCCATGGCTGAGTGGGCGAAGTGCGAGACTAGGATTCGACGAGTCGATGGTTCGATACATAAATTTGATATTATTATTTTTAAGCGATTTTGATAGACGAAGTTTAATCTATGCGAATTTTTGACTAGAAAAAATTTCTAATAAAGTACTTAAAACCTTTGAAGTAGATTATCAATTTTTATTTATTTTACCACTGTGGTTGTTTGGTTGTATTTGTATAGCCGTACTCATGGCTAGCAAACTATTATTAAATTAGCTCTTTATACGCAAAGTATTAAGGCATACAACTTTTCTACGACGCAAAATTACTGTGATTGTATTTTGCTGGCAAACAAATTTTATACTTTCTTGACAATTAAGAGAAGCAGTGTTGTATTCGTAGTCACCATGTGGTAAATTTAAAAATTTACTGATTTATCTCGGTTGGCCTTAGTAAAGTATTTTTTTGCACATTTATATTATTTTCTTTACTATTACCGTTACTTCGTATAAAAATAGTGTGTATATACTCGTATATATCTGATTATCCGTAAATGTAAATTACCTTTATCTTTCCGAGTATGGATTGTGGACGTGAACGTTTTGAATAATTACAGATGCTGGTTTCGTTTGCTAAACAATACTTTGTGGTTGTCGTAAGCAGACACTTAGTGAGCAACATACTGTATTAGTCCCGAAAATGTGTTGTAGCAAATGCCACACAGCAATTTAGCCATATGTTGTGCACAACCAAACTACTTTTGACCAACTAAATACCGTTTATATAACAAATTTGGAAAACACCGCTATTTCCAAGCAACCATTCAACTAACCAACCGACCGACCGACCAACTAATGGAAAAACACGCACTGCTGCTCCTTTTGCCACTTCTCAAAGCACAAAAGCGAAAGCTAAGCGAAAATCGATATTCCTTTGTTGCGAGTTGACGCCCTTGACATTGCAAGTGAATTGCAAGTAACTTGCGATTTCCTAGAATTATGCACTAAGTTGTATATTTTACTTAGGAATTAATAAATTTACTTTTTCAACACGCGAAATTCTCGCTTTTTTGAAAGTTTTCGTACTTTGCTTTGGTTTTTTTCATCACAATTTCTTTTCGTATACTTCGTTTGCGTTGTTTCATGATACACCCTTTTTTGTTTAGCAAAAATTTCACTTTTTCTCCACTTTTCGCACACAACCGAATGTCCTCAGGCACAAAGTCCTTCGCATAGCACAAATTTCTATTTCATTTTTTCTGTGAAATTCCTGCGAATGCTTTGTTCTTGGGGTTTCGTGGGTTTTTATAAAATAATAAAAAGTACCGTTAGCTTAATCACTGACAGCGTTAAGATTTGCGTGCCAATGTCGACTTGACTTATGCATACCAAACAAAACACTACAAATCCACCGAAACAAAGCACGAAAGATTAGTCGCTCTGGAGTGTGGAGTGGCGTGACGAGTAAATGGGTGTGCATATACACATATACATATAGATAAAGAAGTGTTCAAACCCACGCAAAAGTCCAATGAACTGGTATGTATGGGTGTGTGTAGACCCTTTTGATGAAATATGTAAGGCTCAAAATGAAATACCAGCGACCCATAATGGTAAGCGACTACTATGCGAGCGCAACACTATCGAAAGTAAGGGGTTCCCCACACACTTTTATACATACTACTTATATAATATATACATATATCATATTTATGGTTTTTTATTACCCGCCAATTTTAATCATCTGTCAGCTGTATTATTTGTGACGCTTGCTTGCTTACATGGTTGGGAGTTTGCCGAGCATTTTCCAGTTACGCATTACGCGAATTTACGCTCGTCTCGGCTTTGAGCGTTCACCCTGCAGGCACCCTTATGGGTTCTCCCTCTTTATTGTGGTTTGAAAAGCCTATAGCTTTGTAATAAGCGTATTCATTGACATTCCTGTATGTAAAGCATACTTAGCTGTAAATGTCCTTGTGAAGTCACTGTTCAGAAGACTACATAGGGGAGGCTGCGTGATGCCACGCTGTCGACTTTGCCCCAAAAAACGAGCCACCAGAGAGCTTCAATGAGAAGATCAGTCTCGAAGGAGAGAGAATGATTTATCTCTCAAATTGCTTAACAGCTATGAAATTACCACTTACATCACTGTGTTCCAGAACTCAGAATTGTTTGATGTGGAAGTACAGCTCTAATAAGACTCGAGTGTTAGACACTTTAAAGTGTTAGAATCCGTTCAGTTATAAGGATACATGTTAAACCCTAAAATATTACTACTTATACTCTATACTAAAGCTCTACTTCATCGATAAAGAAATCCAATAGAACTCGATTTTAGACAGAAAACCTACTTTAAACATTGGTAAGGGAATGAAGATAAATGACTCAGATCTCAACGTTCTAGTTCATTTAGGAATAATAAGAAGATATCAATATCGTCAAACTATCCACTTCGGGATTAAAAGTAATAACAAAATCTTCCAGACTCTCAATAACATAGAAAGATACTGAGAGTTTGAGTTTGATTGGTCTCAACTATTGTCAATAGATCATTAATCTATCCATGACAGAAATTGAACTAAGAGCTAATCCAACCGGTAATGACATATATTGCTTCTAGCGAGATAAGAAATTTATTAAGAGAGAACCGTCATCCAATTTCAGTTTCCTACTACCAGATAAACTCCAACTTCAGAGTGTACTCCAGTCATGATTAGAAAAAAATCTTTTATCCTCTCGGTAGCTGTGTGGAAATTTTAGGGTCATCCGTTAGGAAGAGAAGTTCTTTTAGTTTTAGTTTTAGTTTTTTTAGTTTAGAGTTGCAATTGAACTATTCATTTTCTAGCCCTTACATTTTTAATCAATCTCCATAACTTTGGCTTAACATTAAGTTTTTCCACAAAAGTCACAAAAGTTTTTTGGAGTTGACTTAAAACTCCTTAAAAATTACAAAGAACTATTCAAAAAGAATCGAACTTTTTGAAAAATTAAATTGTTCAATTTGAAGCACGCGCATTCTGCACTATGGGTAACATTTATATGCCGATGTAAATTGCTTGTCTCTAACCTAAAATTATTCGTTACCAAAGGTTTCTTTCAAGGATATTTTGTACCCTCCGAAATATCAACATTTGCATAATCTTCACGAATTATTCCCCTTTTTTTCAAGCTCACCTGTATAACGGCGGCATTCTCCTCGGTTTTCACACCATCCATTTCGGTGCGATTTCGCATCGCTGCTGCCGCCTTAGCCTCCTGATAGTCGATATCACCCGTTTGTAACCGTTTCATTTCGGCTAAATTACTAGTTGCCTGCTCCGTACTGAAACCGTCGGCTACGACTTTCGTCTTCGATTCGGTCTTTGTGCGTTTCTCTTCGAATTTAACGGTGTCGACGATTTTACCCGACCCATTCAGTCCATTGGTCGTCAATTTGCCATTCGAAGCACTCACCAAATCGGCTAAATTATGATGATCATCATCTGTGTCGGGAAACGTTACCAACGGTTCGGCATCGCTGTCGACGAGATTTTCAATGGATGAGCGGATTCTGGAAAATCGTAAATGAAAAATAAATTAGTAATCGAAATAATGGTAATCTCTCAATGGCAACATACTTCTTCTTCAATTTGTTGATGGCATCCGAGCTGTTTAGCGCATTGATTTGTGTGAGATCGTTTATGGATGGCTGATGCGCTGACGCTGAGATGGCCAGATTTTTGTTGCTGCCCAGACCACCACCACTGCTCGCATTGTTGGTGTTGCGACCGACCAGATCGGTGATTTCGGACATGGAATTTTTGATTTCGCTCAAGTCGCGTTTCAGTGCTGCCGTCTTCATTTCGGACGATGATGTGGACGAGGAGGACGTTGACGAAGATGATGAGGATGTAATATGGTGTAGACGTTTCTTTTCAACGCGCGTTGTTGTACTGCTATTAACGACCTGTGAGTGAGTAAAAAGAAAAATTTTAACAATTATATTGTGAAAAATAAAAGTAAATATTTGCAATTTGTTTGCAAAGATAAGGCGAAATAAGGGGCGATATAATCCATATAAGTATGTATGTATATATTAGATATCAGTAGCTATAGAAATGCTTGTGACAACATTGGCAAACGAATTGCGTCCAAGAAAGTAAATGCCTGAGGTGGGAAAATTTTCTTGATAAACAAAATGCCAAGAATGTCACATATTCTTGTTCGGCTGACGAGATTGCACAATTGTCACACACCTATACATACATACACACAAACATACATGGTACATAATTTAATTTGCTTGTTTTGACAACATTTCTCAGATATTTTCACAATGACTCTGTAGTGCTAAAAATAAGCGTCCAACCGCTGCAAATAAATATTTTCATTGTATAAATATTGTTGTCATTATTTTTTTTAAACTAACTGTTATTATTGCAGACGCAACGAAATCCTAGAGTTTTTGCTTTGACACGAGCGCGCGCTTCGAACTACTAACAAAAATATAAATATGTGTGTATGGGTATCTACATACATATGTTATGTGGTCTCCGCAAAGTCAATTATGGTGAGAGAACGATTTTGGGAGAGCAATAGCGAAAACACAGTGAAAATTTATAAACCACAAACGGTAATAACCCGTTATCAGCGTAGTAAATTAAAGTGCCATACGTATTTGCATATATACAAATATTCATAAACACATACATACATACATCCATAGATCCAATTATACACATATACATGCATATACTCTTGAATACATTCATACACATACAAAAGTATTCATTGATAACGGTGAGGCGTGCGCAATTGGCGCACCGAAGTGGGATCTCTTACAAACAACACAAAAAAAAATACATACGAATTTGTTGTTGTACTAATTATTTTCTATATGTATCTACGTGGGTGGAAAAAGAAATTTTGTGTTGACAAATGTCAACAATGAATGTCAAAAAAGAAATCAAAGGGAACTAAATGAATAAGGAAACATGAATAATACCAGTAATAAATAATGATATATAAATAATAATAATGATATATAAATTTAGTACAATATTTAAAAAAATATGTGAGAATTTGTAAACTCATTCAGTTTTTATCGAATATTATACATTTTTGAAACTTAAGGGCGCGCCTAGCGTAAAATTTCCAAATTTCCTTGGGTTATTCCTTTAAATAAATAAATAACATGCTACAATTTTAAATCGATATCTTAAAGCGTTTTTGAGCTACAGTCTTCTAAAATGTAACCGCTTATTTCAAATTGCTCCATCGGTTTATCTTTAAACGCGTTTTTCTCAAAACCGAATTTTTAAAACTTGATTGAGTCATTACTCGGAGACAAACACAGAACACTGACCTACCAGTTTTTTGATCTAATCAAAAATCCAATTTGGCAGGCCAAAGCGACCGAAATTTTGGGTAAAATTCATATATGTTTTCAAAGCGCCGACATTTTATTAATTATTGATATTTTTCGATCGTAGGTCATTGAAAGTTCAATATCTTCTAGAGAGAGTTTTCTTAGGTTTTATTTACGGAGAAGGCCAGAATTACTGCAGCAGTGGAGAACCTTTTTTTTAGCGCCGTCGAAGGTCACGTGTAATTCAAGTTTTTGGTTTTTTAAAACATTTTACTGTGTATTCTTAAAATACATATAAATACTATATATATCTTTAAAATTTTAAAATAATTGATACATTAAAATTTTTTTTATTTCCTAAAAATCGCCTGTTTTTACGGATGAATATTTTAAAATCAGTCAATACTCAGTGAATAAGATATTAACTGTAAATAGCATAATTCGAACTAGATCTTAGTATGCTTGTTATTCATAGCTTTTATTTTTATTGACAAGAATTATTAATAGAATTATTCTGATTTGTAAAGAGCTATGGTTTAATAGTTTATTATTAATTAATAATTAATAATTTATTATTTATATAATTTATCAATATTTTAGAATCAATTATTTATTAAAAAATTTTTGTCACGAAAAATTTTCTAACTTCGCCAACTTTTGAGATCATTAACCAGTTTTTGTGTATGTTGAAATTATCGATTTTTTAAACAAAAATCTTATTAAATAAAACTTCGGGAAAAGATGATCTAACTTTTTTTGAATAAAACCCCCTGATTTATAAATAATTATTGTGTTTGCCTGAAAAAATTCTTTAGATATCATATATTTTATCTAAGAAACGTTGCTTCAAAATCAATACACTGTTGAACCAATCGATTATTTGATAATGTTTTTTCGTTAGAAACAAATTTATCTTTTAAATAATAGAAGGTTTAATGGAAATCGAGTAATTCAGTAAAAATATCGATAAATGTTGGTATATCGATTTTAGATTACTCAATTACTAATATATTTTACTTTGTATTACATAAAGTATAATATTAATTGAAAACAAATACTTATGTGAACTCAAGATAAGGTTTTCAAGTATCTGGATTTCCTTAAAAGTGGAAAAATTAAAAAAAAATCACAAAATTGGCAAGCCATTTTTTTTTATAAAATATTTGAAAGCAAATATTCGTAAAAATTATTTTAAAAATACGAACATTTAACATAATTTATACTGATCTAATTATTTGCACTACAGAAAATAATCAAGTAATCATAAAATTTCGAAAATTATAATACAAGTATATTAAGGTAGATATTAACCACTATTATTGACCATCATCGCTAATTTTCAATTAAAAATTACAAACCCAGTTTTTATGTCGATTAGTTTTTTTTGTTTTCAATAACGTTCATATCGTTAGTTAAATTTATAAAAATTAAAATTATTTTTAAGTAGCTTTTTGAATAATAAAAATAAATATAATAATAACTTAGCTTCTACGCTTAGTGTTATTTTGTATTTTTGTACATATTTGCCTAATAATTTGTACTTGTATTTTATGTTTCACTCTTTATTGGGGTATATATATATCAAACGTTTACTGTACTATTATTGAATATTTTTATACATATATGTAGTATAATGAGTAAATCATTATATAACTCCAAAACATTGCAAAACTATTTTTCTCTCTTTCTTCTGTGCTTATTGGGTATAAATTTAATGAAAACTAAAAGTAATATTAGAATAAATTACCGTTAAACCGTTAAACCCGCGCAAATATATTTGTTTATTTATTACATCGACCACATGATTGTACAAATTACATAGACACGACTAGCCGGCTACTAAATACAATGAAGCATGCACAAAAGTAATAAAAATAAAGCATCATAAATTCCATTAATGTCGCCGAGCACACTCTCATATAAGCATAATCAAACAGACGCCCAAACTTAAGTACATACATATATACAAACTTATTCATATGCTCACATGTAAGCAATGTAAAATTTTATTACCGCACAAGAGCCTAAGTACAAACATACATACACACGTATGTGTAATATAACAAAATAAAATAAATTAATAATTTATTCAGTGTAAAAGCGTGTGCAAGAAAATTTTCCGCAAAATTTAAGTGCGAATTCCACAAATAGCCGCACTCGACAGTTGGCGAATGAAAGCAATTTAAGTGGATATTGAAAAAAAAAAATCAAAAATAAATAAATTTACGTTGTATTCTCTGTATGCGCGCAAACTAAGAGCCGTTAATCAATGAGATTTCTCCTAAATGGCTTGCAGAGCTTAAGAGGCCAACCGTGCGTATACGCAACCAATTCATTTCATTCACAAGCAACAATTTCCTGCTTTTCTTTAACAGAGCGGAGTGTGCGAAATTCAAATTTATATTCCACTTTGCAGTTGTTGTTTTTATTACAAAAATATAATATGGCCTAGAAATAGCTAAATATTCAAATACATACAAACATTCATTAATATATTGAGTGGAATATTCTAGCAAAAGCTGCGCGCCGCCAACGCCTTAAACAAGCAGAGCAGCTGCTACCGTTTTCATTGACATGACACTACAACTTTCTTTAGTTTTAAACAATTCAAAATATATATTATACACTTAATATATATGAGCTGAAAATCGTTGCATTAGTAATCATTACTAATTTTGGCTGTGAAATAGGCAGCTCCTTATATAATTATACTTGTGCATATACATTTTTCATTTAAATGCCTAAAAGTCGTTTCTTTAATAATTTATTTATATAACTTTTTAGGTGAAATGCCATTTTTGACATTTAAACATTAAGAAATTAAGTCTGTATGTGTCTGTGTGTATGTTAATTACCGGCGCATTGTGTCTCTCAAAGCGCTCGTCCACAACAGTTGTCGCCGTTTTTACTCATGCCGGCATGTTTGTGTATTTGTGGGCGTGTGTGGCGTCGAAAAGTCGCTCTTCTGCTAATGACACTTGGTTTTCATAAGGAAATATATTATGTATGGTTATTAATGTTAATATATGTATAATTATTGTGAAATTTCTTTTCTGGCTATGCAGCTTAAGACAATTTCTTCGTCATCGCTTTGGAGCTCAATGAACACTGATTTTTGGCAATTGCAAAAGCAACATTAGATTTGATTTCAAACGATTTTGTAGCGAATTAAAAGGAAATTTAAAATCAAATATTTATTATATTACTAATATTTTAGTTAAGCATTATGATTGTGAGCGGAATCGCTTATAATTTATTTGCTGAATATATAGTATATATATACATATATAATGGACTTTTTAAAATAAAATATTAGAAACCAAAATCAAACATTAAAAAAACACTACTTTGGGTGTATGCATTAATTCGTGCGGTTTTTTTTACGAAAATTAAGACTTTATTGTGAAAAAATTGTTATACATTTAATGTTCAAAGTATTGCCCATCGGAAGCTATGATGTTTGCCCATCTTTCTGGCAGTTTGTGGATCCCATCCCAAAAGAACTTCTCCGGCTTGGAGGTCAAGAAAGAATCAATCCAATTTCTGATACCCTGTGTGCTATGTCTGGGCTATAAGACGGGTGAGGTAGAACCTCCCACCCACAGTTTTCCAAATAGTTTTTAACTGGCCTTGCAACATGTGGCCGAGCGTTGTCATGATGAAAAATTATTGATTCGTGTCTGGTCGCATATTCTGGTCGTTTTTCCGCGATGGCCTTTTTCAAACGAATCAATTGTTTTCGGTAGAGGTCCCCATTGATCGTCTGACCCGATTTCAATAGCTCATAATAGAGCACACCCTTGTGGTCCCACCATATACATAGCATAACCTTAGCAGCATGGATATTCGGCTTTGCCGTGGATGTTGATGGTTGGCCGGGATTCACATATGATTTCTTGCGCTTTGGGTTATCATAATGAATCAATTTTTCATCGCCAGTGACAATCCGATGCAAAAACGACTTCTTTTGGTGGCGTTGAAGCAACATTTCCGACATGTAGAATCGACGTTCGACGTCTCTTGGCTTTAATTCATAAGGCACCCAATTTCCAAGCTTCTGGATGAATCTTAATGATTTTAATCGTCTGGAAACGGTTGCTTGATCAACTCCTTATACTTTTGCAAGTTCTTCTTGCGTCTGGCATGCATCTGCGTCGAGCAATGTCTCCAATTCTTCGTCTTGAAGTTTGTTTGGCTGTCTGGGTCGTTCTCCGTCGTCTAAGTCGAAATTGCCACTTTTAAACCGTGCAAACCACTTTTGGCACGTTTGTTCGGCTAAAGCATGGTCACCATAAACGTCCAGTAAAATACGATGGCTTTCGGCAGCACTTTTCTTCATGTTAAAATAATGAAGAAGAACTCCCCGCAAAAACACTTTATCTGGTACAAATTTCGACATTTTCAAATGAATGAAACAAATTGTTGTTCACGCTCAAACAATTTATATCTACTGAAAACGACACGAAATGGCAGTACCTTTGAAATGAATATAGCCACAGATGAATACGACGCGAAATAATACTAGTAGAGCCCTCTCTTAGAAAACCGCACGAATTAATGCATACACCATTTTTAATTAGGTAGAAAATATAATATTACGATTGTTTGTTAGACTAAATGGTCAGTTTGTAGGACAGTTATATGCTATTATACCTTTGCTTTGGATAATAACTCACACCAAATTTCGTGAAGATATCTTGTCAAATAAAAAAGTTTTCCATGTTGTGACTTGAGTTTGATCGATCAGTGTGTATGGCACCTATATCCTATATACATCAGATATCGGCAGTTCCGACAAATGACGAGTTTTTTGTGGAGAAAAAAACGCGTGCAAAATCAGATCGAGATGTCAAAAGCTGAGAGACTAGTTTGCGTATATATAGAGATATTGCTGATTGAGTAACCGATCGCCGAGATACATAGTACAATAACAAAAGTTATAGTTCATAATTGAAACATGTGGTATGTGGTGCAGGGTAATGATTAGTCCTAAGGCACTGACAAATCGAAAGAAAAGAGTTATAGTGTATTGCGTCTTGAATTATTAAAATAAAAGTTAATTCTCATTCGAAATCCATATTTGAAAAGAGATACTATACGACACCAGGATAATTAAAGAGGAAACACGAACTTGAAGAAGAAGCAAACTGAAACTAAAACGGAACGTTGCGAAGTATTTATATATTCCAGCACTCACTTACACTAAAGATATATTTGCTAGTTACTGATGTATTAAATCGATGGCTTAAAACTTTAATAAGCATTGCAAGAATCAGCTTTAGGATCGGCTCGGCTTTGAGCTTTCACTGTGCACAAGTTATTTCAAGCAAAATAAAGCCGATAACTGAAATTTATCAGGTAAAAAAAGCTATTCTATTAGTTTCCACTCTAGAAAAACTCGACAAATACTTTTGAATCACTTTTTGTCTCTTACTTGTCCAGCTATAAGATTAATCGATTTGATATGAATTCACTCCCTTTGTCACCATCAATTTGCTGACGTTTTTAATCAAGCCCTAAGTGTCTGCTTGAACAATGAATGACCAGATATGTATGCATGTACATGTTATCTTAGTTACAATTCCATACAATTTTTAAGTCGCTTACAAGTGTATTGGTTATCACTGGTCTTATCGATATCAAATAACATCGAAGTTTATCACACGGCGAAGGTCAAGAATGTTAAGTCGTTGATACGGTTTGTTGTACATAAAAATAGAAGAAAATATTAAGAAAAAAACAAAAAAACTTATCTTTATATATGTAGGTATACATATTTGTATAATATAATATATTGCTTCCAAGTAATAATCATAAATCAACAATATCATTATTATTTTAATAGATTCTCTCTTAATGGATACAATCTACCACTAATTACAAACATATGGCCTAATTGGTATGAAAAATTTTAAAAGATAAAAGATTTCAATGCTGTATGATAAAAATAATATTTTTACACATCTTGTGGCTGCCATTCTTTTAATCTTGCTCGCACTTCGGTTCAATGTGTTTTCGTGTTTCTTTTGATCTTGCATTAATTTATGCCCAAAAACTAGCAATGTATAGGCATGAAAGTCTAGCTATATTACTATATATATACCATACATATGTACAATGTTGGTAATAACAATAAGTACACTGAACCCATTATTATTCTATGGGAATTTTTTTTTCAACGGCATCGTGATTGCTAGACTTTTTTATTCGAGTATAAGGTGTCATCTTATCCGCCGAAAAATATTGACGCATCGTCATTACAAAGAAAGTCTAAGTTTAGACGAGTTTCAATTTCGGTATAACTCAGTGATACAGAAAGCTTGAAAGCGCTAACAATAGCACTTAATATGAAAAAAATCTCAGCCGAAAGTCATCGTATTTTGTTGGAAGTTTATGGTGAATATGCTCCAGCTGAGCAGCGAATGTGGCAAAAGTGGTTTATACGATTTTCAAGTGGCGTATTTGGAAGACGAAAAACGTCCTGGGCGACCAAAAAAGTTTGAAGATAAGGAACTGGAAGCAGTACTTGATGATATACTTCCTCACTGGAATACCGTTCACACCAAAACGGGCTATCACAAATTAACTGGAAATTTTGATAAAAACCGCATGAACATATTTATAGACAGAATAAGTTTTTAGATCAAAATATTTGTGACCAGAAAACAGCTTGAAAAAAAACTAATGATTTGTACTCCACCTTTTAACACGCATTGTCAGTCATTCACTTGAAACATATAGTGCTTATATATACCACATATATATGTACTACATAAATGCGCACACATTTATATCCATACAGATACATACTTGTAGGTATATCTCATTTTAATGGACTTTTCTACCCACCTTACAACAGTTCTATAATTGCAAATTGTTTTGCGTCGCTTATAGTTGAGTTGTTGTCTTGCCAGCGCTTGTGTTGCGCGAGATTGATTATGCGAATAATATTAAAACTTTTATTTGTTTTTAGTTCTTTACCGTCGTATTATAAGTGCTTTGCGAAATATGCGAACCGGTTCGCCTCTTCCTCTTGGAAAACGCTTAAGTATTTCAACTTTTACTTTGTACTTTAGTATCACTTTAATATTGTTTGTTGTTATTTTGCGCTTATTGTTATTTGCTTTTAAGCATGAGAACTGCAAAATGATTATTATTTTGCTCGTATGTATATTTTCGAGTGCGCAGGTATACGTGTGCGTGTGTGTATGCCTTCAAAAATTTATACTTTATCGCGCCAGCAAAGATTGTCTGCTAACTTAAGACATACGCATATGTGTGAGTGTGTATATATTTTCTAGCGCTATTCTAAAACACTATAGCAGACGTTGGACTTATTAATTTATTTACTTTTATTTATGTCGGTGTGTGCACTTTTCCTTTGCTATCGCGTTTTTGCGTTGCACTTAAGTCCACTTGGCTTATTTTTAAGCTTCTGGTATATAAGTTTTAATATATTACTTGTTTTCTTTTTCTATTTTAAAAAAATCACTAAATTTCTTGCATTTATTTACCATTGCTTTCGTATTTGCTTTATTAAGCAATAAATTATAAAAACTTATCGCGTCGCTTTTAAGCGTTTTTTGCACTTGATTATTGAGTTTTTGGCAGCGTGTTATAAATTTGACTTTGCGTGTTTTTGCACTTTTTCGCTTGCACTCGCTGCTTTTCTAACTTTAATTTTTTACAATATTTAAATCGAAAATTAAAAAAAATTATTTTTGCAACTTTTGCCTGTGTCTACGCATTCAATTCATAACGCTTACGTGCATTCGTCGTCACAACTGTTTCGTTTTTAATTAGCTGCCTTCGCTGCTAGCGCCTTTGCTCATGTACATATGTTTGTGTGTGTGTATTATGGGCGCACACTTAACTTTTTATTGCGCCTCTTTATCTTTTAGTGTTTCTTTTTGACTACTTCAATACACTTGCTTTGCGTTTTGAGTTTTATTGTTGGTTTTGCTGTATGTAGCCTCTCAGCTGATAAGAATTATAGCTAGAAGAATCTTGCTTTACCTTTTTTACGATTTCTTCTTGCTATTTTGTACCGTATGCTACACTTCAAGCTTTATTGCATTGTGCTTTAACGGTTTCTATACAAAGTTCGGCTTTTTGCAGCGTTTAAAAGTTGAGTGCTGCCACAGAAAATAATATCGCTACTAATTTGTCTTTTTTGCAATGTTTGTTTATTTTTAAAAATTAATTTAATTTTTTAATTAATTAATTTTTCAAAATTAATTTCGAGTAATTATTTTTAAGTTTCGTTATTTTTTATCTTTAAATATTTTTTAATAATAATACCTTTCTCAGAGAAAATTTTTTTTTTTTCACAAATGTATACCTTTCGTTATTTATTTTCAGCTTTTTTCGTTGTTTAACGCTTTTCGTTTAAAAATATTTATAGATCGTCGTTTTGTATTGAACTGCATCGGAAAGTAAAATATATGTAGTTTTTCGTTGTTTGTTTTTTACAAAATCGTTTTCGTTTATTACTCGTTGTTATTTGAATCGCTTGAATATTTTTAAATTTGCGCAATTTATTTACAAAATAGATAAGAATTACGCATTCATTAATAATTCGATGTTTTATTATTTCTTCTTTTTTCGTTTATTTCACTACTTTCTTCCGATTTCTTCTTTACTCGCTATTATTTTAATTTATTTTATTTTTTCGTTTGCGATTCGCCGTTATACTTTTATGCTTATATCCTGCACAAAATTCGTTGAAATTTATTTTATTTTATATTTTGTTTTTGTGTTTGGATCCTGTCGCGTTGCAAAATGTGATCTTTCGCTTGGTCGTTATTAAACACAACTCGCTTCCGTCGTATAACGTTCGCTCGCTCGCTCGTTTCGTTTCGTTATGAATGCAGTGCTCACAAATTGGCGACCAACTGCGCTCGCCTAGCACCAAAAAGCGCTGTGGAAGAAAGCTTTGAGCGTTTTGTGACTTAAGCTAAATATACACATGTGCGTGAATATATATACAGTTATACGTGTGTATGTGTGTCGCAACTAAAAACAGAACAGTTCTAACTAATTCCACATACGCTCTGCAGCACTCTGGCGTCGAACTTGTTGTTTTTGTGCACATTCGTATATCACGATCATTGCGATCGTCGCGAGATTGTCATATACGCTTGGGTGTAGGAAGTTGGTTTGTCTGCTTGTCAGCTTTTGCTGAGTGACACTAGCGCACACACACAATCACACATTTACAACAAATTATATATTCCCGCTTCGGTCGCATTTGAGTGCGCTCCACGATTGTTGGCGTTGATCACTAGCACCTGCGAATCATACACGTACGATTGTATGTATGTATGTTATATACTCGCCTTTTCTATTAACTCGAAACAGTTGTAATAAAGACACTCGCATGAGCTCAACGAATTCTCGGAATTCACGCTTCATTTACATAATTTGCAACTCAAATATTTGCAAATATTTATTTAAGTTTTTTTTCTCTCTTCATTTTTAGTACGTGTGTATGTATGTATTAGTACCTTTTTAATGCTTTGAGTCGCTTTACTTTAAAAGTTTTAAGTTTAAATTTATTATGACAACAGCAACAAAAAATATGGAACTTTACACACATATGTATGTTCATATACATACATACATATAGGTACATACATACATGTACATATTTGTATTCTTTTATTTCTGATTGCTCTTTAAGCTGTTGGCTTTTCAGTGATAATTACACTTTTTTGCGGCTTGTATACATACATACTATATATGCATTTACATATATAAATATGTGTGTGTGTGTTGAGAACACCTCAATCGATTACCTTCTGCAAAATTCATATTATTTTTACTTTGTGCGTTATTCAAAACTCACGCAATTCTTAATAATATACCGCCGAAGCATTGCTACTTCGGCTTTATTTTGAATACAAGCACACAACAACAGCAAAAAAAAACAAAAAAAAAAAATTATTTGTTTATTACTCGAATGTAAGTGTCTTAAATAAAACATAAATATACAGTGCTGTCTAGATTATCAGAAGCGTGGGCAAGTCGTGTTTAGAAGGCTAATAGAGCTTTTTGAGAGTAGTTGAAAGCTTTCTGTACACTAGCTTATAAATAAATAAATAAAATATTTTATCAAGCTTCTTAAAGATATACACACAAGTATATGTATTTTCTACATTGCCTTCACGTCCATAATGAATTACAACCCTGGGTAATATACGATGTTAAAAACGGCATGAAAGTTTTGAGAACGATCAACTCATTCGCTAAGTTGAAATCCTAAGCTTTTTGAAATCTTAAGAAATGAAGTTTTCAAACTTCAATTTACAAATTGACGAAGTTCTAAAAGATGAAAATTTCCAACTTCCATCAATATGTAAACGAACCAGAAATTTTAATGATATATGTACATATACATATGTATACTCGTATAAAAATTCTACATACTCTACTAAAGCGAAACCAAAAAATTCGCTCGAAGTCTTCTGTTGGTGATTCTTTTTCTATCAATAACTGTATTCAGTTTTTGGTTTTTGTGGAAATATCTTTGACGAATTTATGATAAGATTCCTGATTTGCTCATTGTATATAAATACATACGAGTATGTACATATGCTTTTAACTATAAGTACATGCGCAATTATGTCTTTCTTTGAACTTAAAACTATTAATGTTCGTTTTCATATTCAATACGTTGAAATCTGCTGTGAGCTGTCACTTTGACGTCTTCATTTTACCGTATTCCAAGTATTTCAAGTGAAAAGTTATTACTTTTGCGAGAAATTCATAATTTATTACAGAACACTCTATGTAAGTGATACTTCTAGTTAGTATTTACTTACTTAAAAATATTTTCTTGATTTTAAAACTTCACAATTTATTTTTTTTTATCTTAAACATTTAATGATGTAATAAATAAATATGTATAAATGTGGATCGTATTTGCTATGAAGAATCTTAAAGCTCCTAACAAAGCTTTAGAGAGCACAAATACATTTTTCGTATATTCAAATATTTTTCGTACGAAAATCATGAAAACACCTACATAATTTATGAAAAAAGTGAAAGTTCAATTGTTACTATATTTGTGGATTCCAAGATATCGATCGTATTGTCAAAAGCTTACTTTATATAATCACACAGAACATGCACCTTTGAAGATAGGTTAAAAGCTAATATAATGGATTTTTAGTTATAAAACACATAATTAAAAAAAAATTAAAAATTGAAGGGCTATTACTTATATTAGCATAATTAGTGATGTTGCTATTATCGAATTGTCTTTCTTGAGAAGTTTTGATTTGCACTCGCTGGAGAAAAAATTTTTTTTATAAGATTCTACTTGAAATTCTAGAGTCTTCAATTTACTTAAACTAATATTTGATGTTATTTTTAACTTTCTATTATGTTTTTATTATATGTATGAAGTCTATACTATATTTTTTATCAGCAGCACTGTTTCTTTGAATGATTTAATAATAAGTGTGGAGAATTGAAATATTGTTTGTTGATAATAATAAATGGCTCGACCCAGTGAACTTTATTGTGTTGATTAGTTTTTTGAAAAATTCTCGGCTAGCTAAATATTTTTTGTCGTATTGGTAAAAAAAAACAATACAAAACTTAACAATTGAAGTTCAAAGCAAGAGTTGTTGCATACATAAGTGGATTAATATGTATTTCGTAAGGATTCGGGTAGTAAGCCGTTATTGATTTACGGATTTTATAAAATTGCATCTACTTACATGAAAGCTATCTTTACACATATATGCATATATACATACATATGTACATTATTGTTTGGTTTACAACTTAGAGCTTTTATTCGAGCTTTCAGATTTATTTAAGGTGTTCGTTTAATTTTATTCCTCAAATAGAGGGTTCTACATGTAAAACACGCCTCAAACTGATTGAAGGAACTTCTTAAAAAGTATAGCTTATCAGAAATAGTTTAAGATAGCTTGGCACGGTCCGACCGCCACAAATGCAAAAAATTTTCCTGTTATATGCGACTTCTTCATACCGCGACCGCATCCATAACTCCATCCAAGTGACAGTTCGGTACGCAACTTACTAAGCTACGCCGGTAGACAGTCCGAGTATTTTTTCACATTACGTAATTTTATTAAACGTATCTGATACGTCAAAAACGAGATAAGCACTTCATACACAGTATGTAACTGACTGACTGACAGGAAATGCATCATAGTCAATAGCTAACGGGTTATATTTCGCCCTAAATAGTTTAGCATGACAATGCAATACTATCAAAACAAATCGAAATTTTGATAAGGTTTAGTCAGCTGAAATGCAAAAAGAGTAGGTAATAAAAAGCAAAATGAAAATAGCGAAGCATTCAGCGGCGAACTCGGCAAAAAGCGCTAAATGAACCGTAGCGTCGGGGTAACAGCCGGTAAATAAAACATTTTGAATGGATACACAACAGGCCGGTAGATGAATCAGTCGATGAGTAAAGTGTGTCTGTGGAAACAAGCGATAAAGAAAGCAAGGAAAAACCGCTGGGGAGGATAAGCCCAACAAACATACATAAAGTAAAAGCGTGACGTTAATGACATGCCAACTGATAAGAGAAAAATGGAACGAAAAAATAAAGAGAATATGAGCTATACTCGTATACAGACAGATAGCTGTGACCAAATATGGTGAAAATCCACTAAAAGTAATGGCAAACGAGGGATGTTTGCACAATTATAAAGTATAGAAATGCCATAGAACTAGTTAATTACTTTTGAAACATGATACAGTTATTTGCGGGAATATCCATTTTCTATAGAAGAAAAAGATAAAAATATTTATTTTATATTTCGCTAACTCACGATCGGCGATCGTCACAAGTTGAGCGTGTTACTCCTACTAAATGGCATCTGGGTCGAACACCGGTTTTATTTAATTCTTTAATGCAAATCAATTTAATGAAATACCATAAATTTGTTCTTATTCATTTTGAAACGCAACGCATCGTTTCTAGAATATACGTGTATACTATTTGTGAAAGAATTAATATGCAAACCGACGCTTGCTTTTCTTAGCACCTACTCAAAATAGATTCCACGATTTGAGTTGGCTTAAAACCAAAGCAAAGAAGGAAAAAACAGTTAAATGAAATAAAAATTAGCCAAAAGCAAAAAAAAAAAGAAAAAAAAACTCACTCGAAAGTTTGCAAATGTTTTTTGATATAAAAACGCGCCACTGTCGTGCCACTCCGAGTCTATTTGTTTCGGTTAGTTGATGAATCATCCGACACTTTTAGCGCGCGCCGCCGTGCCAGCCAGACAGACCGGACAAACACACACACACAAACGAACATGCAAATATCTAGGCATAAGCACTTATTATATGATCGCGTTGTCATATTTGCAATTCAAATGTAAGAACGCACGCACACATTTACTTATATACATACACAAGTATGTAGCTAGAAGAATAATTAATGTGGGGGCCTGCGACGCCTTTTAAACGTGTGAGCGTTTTCATTTGTCGCAAATTATACAATAATCATATAAGCAAACAGGCACACATAGAAACACATATACATATGTACATATTTGCCGGTATGTGCGCATGTGTGTGTGAATGCTCGTAAATGTTGTTAATTGTTTTTGTTTGGCGTTCATTGACAGACATTACCATAGATTAGCATTTCTACATTTACGATTTTACCCATAAATAAGATCCAGCCCACGCAACTTAAAACTTAAGAAGAATTAAAGTATCTAGCATATGAAAATATATAGCAAGAGCAAGTTCTGTCAAAAAGATTTATGTTCCATAAAGTACTTGAACGATCGTTAATTCTTGTTGTGTTTTTACGTGAGCTCTGTAAAATAAAACTATCAGAATCAGAAAAGTATCT